ACATAGGTTTTACAATTTTAGATCAATCGAAAATTACATTGAAATTCACTATAATTTTATGAAACCACGGTTTCAAAATAATTTAATGCTTAATTATATAAAATTTTCCACAAGTATATAAAAAAGTATTAGGTCTATTTAAAGATAAAATGAGTGGAAAAATTATAACTGAATTTATAGGTTTAAGGTCGAAAATGTATTTCATTAAAACTCTAAAAAATAAAAATATTAAAAAAACGAAAGGAGTTAAGAGGTATATCGTTAATGTTTTAATTTTAGAAGATTTCAAATCCGCTTTACTAAATAATTTAATAATATATAGAAATATAAAGGTTTTCACATCTAAACTACACATTATCTATACCTACACATTATCTATACTATATCTCAATAAGCTTGCTTTAAGTAATGCAGATGAAAAAAGATACATTAAGATATAGAAAATTAAATGTAGAAATTACTTTATAAGAAATGTATTTAAATATAAAGACTGCTTTATAAGAAATGTATTAAATATGAAATATAAATCTCACAAGATTGTTGAAAAATATTGCATTGTGTTTTGTCATAAATCAGATGAAGAAATTCCACCGCGTAAGCTTTAACAAGAAAAAAAACTCCTCATAAATTACATAGTCTAAACCTAACCTGTTGTTTTCAGGAAGCAAATACACCTCGTAACGTGGTGCTGTGTTATAAAAATTAATTCTAAACTATGTTATCAATATTAAAAAATTAATTTTAACCCTAACCTTTGTTTTCAAGGAGGAATTACGCCTCGTATCGTGGTGTTGTGTTATCAATATTATTACTTATGTCAGTTCCTTTTACATTAAATCATACATATAGTATGATTTAACTATAGTTATGTAGAATCTAATTTTTATAGTCTAATGCAATGGATAATAATAATAAATTTAATAAATGCGTGAAAAATTTTATTTAAGTTAATGGATATTGAACATAATAAATAATGATGATAAGATTCGTATTATTGTATTAATTATCTTTTAAAGTTCTAAAAAAAAACTTATTCCAAACCTAACTTTTTGTTTTCAGGTAAATACGCTTCGCAACGTGGTCCTGTGTTATCAATGTTTACAAAAATAATTCTAAACTTACCTTTTTGTAAGCTTTAAGAACTTTTTTAAATTTAAAAAGATTTTAAATTTAACAGCTTTCCTAAAGATTTTAAATTTAACGGCTTTCCCTTACCTCCCAATATAAAAAAAACTTAAAATGTTGCATACTTTTAAATTTAAAACAGTTTTAAATATAACGACTTTCCTTTTACCCAAGACAAAAAGGTTAAAACATTACATCAAGTTTTCCAAATTTTAAAAAGATTTTAAATTTAACGTCTTCTTTAAAACCTTAAAATTTTACCTACTTTTAACCGAGGCAACAATTCCTCTACAAATATTGCGTACTTAATGTTACATATTGCATACTTTATTTTAAATATTGCATACTTCATTTCTAATACTGCACACTTCAAAAAGCGTACTTTAAGGCAACAATCCCTCCAATAATATTGCATACGTCGAATAAAACTGCCATACTAATCATTGCTTACGGCTAGGGTCATACTTCCCCTTACTTTTACCCAGGACAGCAATAAAATTACCCAAGACAACAACCATATTACATCACTGCATACCCTAGGATGACACTACCGGTCTAGAACCCGCATATTCTAACTGCTTATATCATCCCAAAATATTTATAAATATTTATATTATTTACATATTCATTTTTGTACTTACAGATATTTAGATTTATTCTACAAGTGGTACTTACAACTGTTAAATATATATGTATAAATATTTTCAGTATTTAATTTGCTTGTGCAAATATAATACTGAAAATATTTTAGAGCAAAAATGGTAAAAATCCTTATATGGATTTTTAATATAATAGTTAAAACTACTTACAACTATATTAATACTACTGCAAAACTAAAATTGAAATCTTATACCAACAAATTTAGATTTTCCAGAAGAATAAAAGTTTGCTTTATTTCAGAGTGTGAAAAATAAATGAAATAAGTAGAAAACAGCGAATAACTGGTTTAATTCTTTGTTATAGATAAATTTCTGACAATAGGATTTATGGAATGCATTTCTTCTCGTAAAAGTTGTGATAAAATTTTAGAGTTGTAAGTTTTATATTAGTTTTTCTATGTTACTTTGTCGTTTAGTCATTCTCAATATTTTGAGAAGAGACACAATACAGCGTCCTTGAGGCAATCTGGACATATCATAAAGCAATGCAGGTTGAAATATTGCTTTAAATAATTTAATTTATTATTAAGGTTCAGCTCGGACTTATATATGCTTATATCTACTGTTGCGCTAATATGGTTTTCGAATGTAATTTTCTCGACGAATATGATACCTAAATATTTGATAGTATGATATTAAGATATATATTCATAGTAAAATTTTATTTCATTACCAGGTAGACATCAATCTTTTGTTCTTTTGGTGACAAAAATTCCCCCATTTATTTTAGTTATCCAACTTTTGAAATAATTTTCTAATTAGTTAAGTGGGGACTGTAATTGTATTTCTATTTATTGAAAATTTATGACTCGCATATATGGCAGTGTTATCAGTGAATATAGACAGAGATTTACTGTGAAATTTGGCAATATCCAAAGCAAAAATGTTGTAATGCATATAGGACCATATGTTGGACACCAGCCAATATAGGAAGTTTTTCAGATTGTATCCCTAAAACTCCTATCAGTTAAAAAACTTTGAATTATTTTTAAAGTGCACAAAAAAAGGCCTGTTTAACTTTATGCACCAATCCATCATGTCAAACCACATCAAGAGCGGAGTTTATATTTAGTGCAATCATATCAACTCATTTTTTATATTTTAGACTATCCTTGACGAATTTTTTTAATCTCATTTTTACCGACTGTATTGTGTATATATTAGGTAGATTATGTGATGGCAACAAATTTTGCATATCAAGTTTTCAGTGGGAATGCAATTCTCCATGGCAGGGAAGTGTAAATAAACTGTTGCCTGTCGGTCTTTCGCTCTGTCGGTCTGTGTGTGTACACGTGTATCTCAAATTCGACAAAACCGATTTTGATGATTTATATGAAGGTTTATTTCGATTGTGGCACGGATTGATCAACTTTTGGAATATATCTGGCCTCTGGAACTGCACTTTTTAGCGTGCCTATTTTAAATTTTTGACAATTTTAAGGAAAATATTCAACAGATTTTCTTGAAATTTCATATATAAGCTTCGCTCGACTGTCCGCTAAAGCTCTACACTTTTGGAAGAAACCAGGCATCATCAAATAAACGTTTACTACGGATTAAATATACACTTTTGCATATATAAAGAGAAATAATCAACCGATTTCATTGAAATCTAATATTCAATTTTTTTGTATTAAAACAATTTTTTGGTAAGATCAGAGCTCGAAAATGATCTGCCTGGCGATTTTACATTTTTCACCATATCTACGGAACGAATTAATGGAATTTCTTCAAAATTGTTATTTGAATTCTGGCTGCTATCGAAACTAACTGGCGACCATTTCAGAGAATTCGGGTACCACATATACCCAAGCATTATTATTATTATTATTATTCTTATTATTATTATTATTATTATTATTATTATTATTATTATTATTATTATTATTATTATTATTATTATTATTATTATTATTCTTATTATTATTATTATTATTATTATTATTATTATTATTATTATTATTATTATTATTATTATTATTATTATTATTATTATTATTATTATTATTATTATTATTATTATTATTATTATTATTATTATTATTATTATTATTATTATTATTATTATTATTATTATTATTATTATTATTATTATTATTATTATTATTATTATTATTATTATTATTATTATTATTATTATTATTATTATTATTATTATTATTATTATTATTATTATTATTATTATTATTATTATTATTATTATTATTATTATTATTATTATTATTATTATTATTATTATTATTCTTATTACTATTATTATTTTTATTATCATTATTATTATTATTATTATTATTATTATTATTATTATTATTATTATTATTATTATTATTTATTATTGTTATTATTATTATTACTATTATTATTATTATTATTATTATTATTATTATTATTATTATTATTATTATTATTATTATTATTATTATTATTATTATTATTATTATTATTATTATTATTATTTATTATTATTATTATTATTATTACTATTATTATTATTATTATTATTATTATTATTATTATTATTATTATTATTATTATTATTATTATTATTATTATTACTATCATTATTATCGATGTATTGCAAAATGCATGAAATTAAGAGAAAAAAAAATAAAAATTTTTCCACAATATGTCTACAAAAAGGAAAAATCTTTCGGAAACGGAAAGTCGGCTACAAATTTTACTGATAATTTCAACTTACGAAACTACGAGTTTTCTTTCATTGGTGAGATCTTTGTGATACGTTTTAAGTCTATACAATGACAGTTCTAATTTTTCTTGTGAAATATAAAAGAATAAATAAAGTTAAATTCGGAAAAATGTGTTCTGCTACAAGGGTGTTTATATTTATTGCTCATATTTGCGTTGCAAAGTTTTTTTTGAATATATTATTTGTTCTATCACCAGTTTTTAAGTAATCTTGTGGGCAGTAAAATATAAAAATTAACTCAAGAATATAAAGTAACGGAATAGGAATTTTACAAAAAGAAGGGAAAAATAATTTTTATATCTGTAAAGATTACTTATCATTACCAACATTTCAGCTTCTTATAAAATTTTTTTTTAATTTAATGTAATCCAATCCAGGTATTAATTTCGTGTTAGTGTTGTTTGATATGGTGTACTTAATAACAAGTACAAGATGTTAGAACATGTGAAAGATGAGCAGACAAAGTTCAAGCATTATTTCAAATTATTTTTTTTTTCTAAAATTTCAAGGTAACAAGCACATCTGTTAATGGTGGATTGCACACAATGGCTGAATCTAAAATTGGAAATTATGATCGAGAAAAAGAACGATCTAGAATAAGTTTTGCAGAAGGAGAACGTGAGTCGTTATTAATAAAAGAAGCTACACCTCTAAATTATCTGCGTAAAAAACATTTATATGGATGTTCAGAATATAACACTGCAAGCTGTGCAGCCGAGTCTAGCAAAATAAGTAATCATGGAAATAGCTTTGAATGCATTGAAACCAATTACTGTACATCCACTGACAGTTTTAGAAATGCACCCAATAGCGCAACAAAAAATACTGCAACGTTAGGACCAAATAGTGGAACAAACATTAAAGGTATATTTAAGAGAATATCAATATTATAAAAGAATAATTTTAAATTTACTATCGTTAGCATTTCAAGACAACTCCAGTACTGCAGCTGCTGCTGCAAAATCTTTGAATAATAGCTATGAGCTCAATGAATTTGATACACAAACACCAAAATACAGGTATTTCACTACGTTTTCCTTTTAAAATACGTTATCTTTTTTTAGCAATTTTATTTTTGGATGTATTTATCTAAAAGAGAACAAATCCTTAATAACTTTCCGTTTAAGATGCTATTCCTTTTAAATCAAATAAGAATTCCATAACTATGAAAAATTTAAATAACAAAAACAAAATATTAACAAAATTTTTCTTATGTTATATATTAGATTAAGAATTACTAAAAAAAATAAATTTTATTTTTTCTATATACATACAAACATATTGTTCTTTTTATATTTGTTTAGTTCCGTAAAGTGACTCCTTTTTATACATGTTAATATTTTTTTATGGAAAAAATTATAGAATATTAAAAATAGAACTAGTAGTATATTTTATGTTCGAATTAAGTAATAATTTATTGCTAATGTATTACAAATGCGCTCATTTATTATTTCTTTGTTTAAACGTCTTACACATGGTGATTTTCAGATTATGTTAAACAGAAGCTAGTTTTATGAGTTAATTGAATTGCTATATGGGTTATAAATTTGATTAAATAATTTTTGAAAAAAAGTATCGTCCAAAAAATATTTTTAATAATCAATGTTGTAAAATTAAAAGACCACGTTATACTATTACAAATTAATTTTATTTTAATTCATTAGTAAAAATATAAATGAGTAAAAATTTCGTCCTTCTGTGAACAGATTTAATAATGCGTATATATACATTTTGCTTTTGTTTTAACACTTTCATATTATAATTTTTCTTAAAAAGATTCTAATTAAAAACTGATATTACTAGCATTTGAATTATTAATAATATCAAATCATACATGATTATATAACCTTTTCAGAAGAAAACAATTTTTTACAGGATTTGTAAATAAGTAAAAGTAAAATATCAGTTGGTGTTGCTTATTCATCTGAAATCATTCTACCACCCTACGAAAGAACTGATGGGTCTCAAACATTTAGAACACATTTGTAAATAATGCCTTTGGAAAATAACGGCTTTTTTGTTCCACAAATACCATAATAACTAAGAATAAGTTTTTTAAAAACATTATTTCGAAAATTTTTGTTTTTTATAAAGGTTATTTTAAAATTTAAATCAGTGATAGCAACTGCATTATTGTCAAATCATGCAACGAGCTACCAAGTCAAATGGTAACGTAAGACAAAAAAAATCTGATGCAGTCAACACATAACCGACCGCAACGTGTATTTTCTAGTTAAGTGAAAGTGTTACAGAATATTATAAAAATGACTGTTAAATATTTCTTTCCAATTTTTAAGACAATAGTAAACTTATAGAGTTTCGCTTTGTGCTACCCGAATTCCCTGAAATACTCGCCAATTAGTTTCGGTAACAACCAGAACTCAAATTTCAAGAAATTCCATCAATTCGTTCCGATCAGTTTCTGAGCCCTGATCTTTCCAAAAAATTTAAATATTCATTCTTTTAATACGAAGAATTTAAAAATTAAATTTTAATGAAATCGGTTGATTGCTTCTCTTTGTATACCCAAAAATGTATATGTATTTGGTCCGTAGTAACGTCTAGTTACTGACGCGTGTTTTCTTCCAAAAGTTAGGAGGTTTTGCGATCGAGTGAAGCTTATATATGAAATTTGAAGTAAATCTGTTGCTTATTTTCTTCATAATGAAATGTTTGAAACTAAAAAGTGTAGTTCCCGAGGTCGGATATATCCCAAAAATTGATCAATCCGTGCCATAGTCGAAATAACCTTACATTACTTACATAACTAGACCAACAGGTTGCTAAAAATAGTTTATTTACACCTCACTACCATGGAGAAGTGCGTTCCAACCGAATACCCGCTATGCTAAATTTGTTGCCATCACATGACCTACCTATTGTATACACAACGCGGTCCATAATAAACTTTTATTTCAAAAATTCTATTTAGATATATTAAAGTAATGCTACCAAAGAAAATGCAATAAATTTATAATTGCCCACTTTTTTCACGGCTTTCAATCATTTTTTTTTTATTCCTTAAATCTTAATTTATAATTTTTACTTTTTCTGCTATTTCCACAAAAATTTAAAAAGGAATGTACCGTTAGTTTCAGTTAGTCTTTCTGCCTCTCCGTCTGTTAAAAAAATTCAACATCATTCAAAATAGCAAAATGAAATAACTTATCCTAAAAAAGAATATGTCATTTTTCTATCTTGACAGATTTAATCAACGAATTAGAAATAATAAAGGAAAAAAGAAGATCTTGAAAAAACAATGAAACCAATTAATTCTTTCTTTGTTCCAAGTATTGTCAAAGCCGTAACAGAAGCGTATTCATTTTATTTTTCGGACTTTTCCAAAAAAAATTTGAAAAAAACTGCTTATTAGTTTCACTTTGTCCGTCCGTCCGCCCGAGGACATGTTTACAAAACTTTTACACCCTTGAAGATAGAAAGCTGAAATTTACTATGTACATATATCTTTACTAGAAACTTACTTGCGTAGAAGAAAACTTTACCTATCTTCCCCTTCTAGAGGTTAAACTCCTCCCAACCCCCCAAAAACGCTAAAAATGCCATTTTTTAACTATTTATTGCAGTAAAACCGTAAGCATTTCTCAAATTTTGCAAACGCAGAAAGGCATTGGCTTGCTTTCTTATCGTGGTATAGTTAAATTTGAAAACCAGAAAATGACAACAAAAAAAAATTTTGCAAATTTTTAATGTCTTTTTTTACTAGACCCCAGGTTGTGGGAGCCTAAAATTTTATCAGCTTTTAGACACTAACAAATAGTTTATTTTATTGGAAGAAAACGTTTCTTCCATCTCCACCCCCTCTCAAGTTATCGCCTCTCAAAATTTGTGAAATTTTAATTTTTGACGCCTTCTATTTCCAAAACCGCATGATATTAAAAAATGTATTTTTTTTTTTAACTCACGCAATTAAACCTAAAAATCGTTACCATCTCTTTATATATGAATGAAAATAATTTTAGTAGTGTGTTAGGTGTACATAGACTGTATTTAAAAGCAGTATTTTCACTTGTTGAAGGGAAAAGATACAAACCATTGGTTTGACCCAACTTTATTTTATTTAGCCTCTACTATAAAATAAGTGTGATTTGTAAGAAAGATAAGTTAAAAAATTTTTTTAAAGTAAATTTGAAATACTCGTACCTGTAAAAAATCAAATATAAAAAGAACTCATTAATTATTGCCCGCATTGTGTATACAATAAGGCAGGTAAAGTGATAGGAACCAATTTTGCATATGGAGTTTTTGGTGGGAACGCACTTCTCCATGATAGGGAAGTCCATACAAACTGTTTATTGTATGTAAGTTTATTTCAATTATGCCATGGCTTGATCAACTTTTGGGATATATTAGGCCTCGGGAACTGGACTTTTTAGTGGACCTGTTTTACATTTTCCATCATTTTGAAGAAAATATTCAACAGTTTTACTTAAAATTTCATGTATTAGCTTCATTCGACCATACGGGGAACCTCCTAACTTTTGGAAGAAATCAGGTGTCATAAACTAGACGTTTACTTCGGGTCAAATATATATTTTTGGGTATATAAAGAGAAAAAAATACCCGATTTCATTGAAATTTAATATTTAAATTCAAGGTCTTATCTATACCAAGCTTTGGTAAAGACCATGGCTCGAAAACTGATCTGGGAGTCTGTTTTACATTTTTTACCATATCTATGGAATTAACTGATGCAATTTATTGAAATTTAATATTTAAGTTCCGATTGTTTACGATTGATCCGGAAGTTATTAACGAACTTTTCGTATAATTCGGACGGCGCAAAATGAAATTCTCCCAAGAGCCAAATTTACATTTTCCTAGGTTTTTTAACTAAAAGTTTTTTAGTGTCCTTGAAATTGTAGATTTATTCTAATTGAAGCATTTAAAATGCATTTTCATTATCTTGTGGACTAAAAGTTTTTTAGTGTCCTTAAAATTTTGTTTATATGATGCAAAATTATGTAAAAAAAATTTTTTAAGATTGCAGTTAAAAGTTTCAGTCTAGAATCTAAAAAGAAGCTTTTAAATGTTTTTAATTTGTCTTATAATGTACGAAAATATATTATATTGCTCATATGGCTCATCTTATATATAGCTCATTTGTTTTATAATATACGAAAATAAAAAACTATTAAGCAAACAGAAAGGACCTACTTCTTCGCTTGAAGTTAATATATTTTTTAATTTTGATATTTTATATGGCTTTGGATATTACTTTCAATGTACTTTTTATTGATGACGGTGATGTTAGCGAAATATTTTTCATTGTGAGACATTTTTGTAGTGGTGCTTTATTAATATTTTGAATTTCGGATGCAAAATGACTCAAAAACTACGGACTTTTTAACTATGCCATTAATTTTGGTTATTATACTCTAAAGTAGGTGGTATGTTGTCGTATACTTCCTCATTAATTAAAGATTTCTTCAGGCACGTTTTATCATCTTCTGAAATATCAACAAAAAAATTTGACAATGTGTTATGTTCAGAATTTATTTGATGTGTCTGTGACGTTGTTAATACCGAAATATTTGCCAAATTGTGTATCCAAATTTTTTACGACGCACATCTTTTTTTATATACTTATTTCAGTTGTAGGTACAAACTTTTAAATTAAAATAAATTGAAACAAAAATTTTCTTATTAAAGTAAGCAATGGAATAAATTAATGCGATGCATCAAGATTTTTAAGTTTTCAATTATAAATACATATGTTTAAAAAAAGGATACATTGTATGAAAAATTAAATTGAAATTTTTTCTTTTCGATTTTGACAAAGTCTTAAAATTTTTATTTGATGATTCCGAAGAAACCCTAACTGAGTTATTTAATTAATTCGCACTAATATTTTATTTTACTTACTGCATTGAACATCGTCTGTATATCTTTTTTCTTTGTCGAACAAATTTTCACTCCATATAGGGAAATATTAACAAAACAATCCACATTAAATTGGTTATTACATACAAACTACGTAAAGCATCTGTCGTTACATAAG